AGGTACGCTCTACTATATTCATGGCTACTGTAAAAAGCAAAGTGAGGGCTAGAAACATGTTGTTTTATATGGGGATACAAATTGTAACCATAATAAACAAATATGACAGCACAAATAGAGTTTTATCCATGCTACTTCCTGCTGTAAAGAGAAATGGTGTGGTTAGGTGGAGAGAAAAACAAGTTTTTCAAGTGAACAAAAATGGATAATTCTAGCATCCACAATGCGGCTGTGGCTCAGGTAGAGCGGGTTGGCCGTTAATCGGAAGGTCGGCGGTTCAATCCCCGGCTCCCCCAGGCTGTATGTCGAAGTATCCTTGGGCAAGATACTGAACCCCGAATTGCCTCCGCCAGTGTATGAATGTGTGTGAATGGTGAATGCAGATGTAGTAAAAATGCTTTGAGTGGTCGAAAAGACTAGAAAGGCGTTATACAAATACAGAGCATTTACATTGCTTCCATAGACTGTATATAAAAAGATTGCTTCATTACAGACACGGAGGTCTCACTCTGTTCAGACAGAAGAAGAAACTTGTAGTCCGTCAACCCAATCGCTAATGGTTGACAGAGCACTCTCTCAATTTATGTTCTTGCACATTTTTGCATCCCCAAATGAATGCTGAAGACAGGCATTACATGCCTCCGAGGAAATATCAGATCATGACTTGGCCCACAAATTTGCCAGAGAAATCATGTCCAAGTCTACAGCAGGGCTTGTGTATATTTCTTGTCTTCTGCATAGCAAAAGAGTGTACTATGCTAGCCGATATCACAGATTAATTTTTCCTGTGTGCTATCAGCCTATCTGAATTCAGCTGCTTTAGATTGATTTGGAATAAAAGTCTGAAGACTGTCCATCCTCCGAGGTAATGTACACAAATGTGTCTGTCTCTGTTAGGATTGATCTGAACACTGGAGTAATAAAGGGAAATATAACTGTCTCCCATAATCTAATAACTGATATTGCTCTGGGTACTTGTATTGAGACTCAACTATTCCAAAGTGGAACAGACAGAAGTTTTGGCAGCATGCAGGGTTATTGAAGTTGACATTTTTCTTTTGTTTTCTTTCAAAGCGCCAGAATAAACATTCAGTTTATACGCTGTAGACCAAGGATTTATGTAAACACAGGGCCCAAATATAAGAGTGGCAATAAACCTAACGCAAATATGAGATGTGTGTGTTTAGCACACACACACACACACACGGCATTCAGACCGCCATGTGGAGTGTATGTGAGAGAGGTGGCGTTGCTAGGAGCACCAGGTTGTGTGCAGACAGTGGTAACAGAGTAGAGACGGCAGCAGCAGCCTGGCAGTGGAGAAGAAAGGAGTGGAGCAATGCCAAGAAGATTCCCCCTGAGAGACTGTAGGAAGGGGAGAGCGAGACAGACAGACACAGAGGGAGAGAAACACGCAGAGGGCACGCTGATATGATCATGTGTTTTCCACCGAATGGTATAGGAACAATTTTGCCACCAAACCATATAGCAACTCAGACAAACATCTGAGAAGGGACATTACTGTACTCTGACTTGGATATAACTCTAAAATGCTCATTAAAAAGCAAAAAAACAAACAAACAACATTTTCAGCTTTTAGAAAATATTATGGCATGGATGCAAGGAAATGGGCATGATGGAACAGCAGGAGGGGGAAGATGGTTTACAAGGTTGACTGGAGGGATGAGAAACAGAAAGCGAGAGATGGAGTCAATCTGGTGGGGCTCATGTTTGCCATCCCTCCTTGTGTCACCAATCCGTCAGATGAACTGTTAGCCTATTTCCAACCAGCCCACGTCACTTCCTCACCTCTATGTGTTACCCCGCTGCGCCTCTCCCTTGTTTTCTATTTGTTGTCTCCTTTTCCAATTTCTCTCTTCCTTCTTCCTCCTGTGCTCTTCCTTCCCTTATTTTGTCTTTAAACGGGGAGTCGTGTGAACAGGCTATGCAAATGAGATGGTTATTACCCCACTGCTCATCAAGCCGCGCAGAGGAGACATTAATAGGCTGATGAATATGCATGTGAATTTGTTAATTAAGTTAATTATTCTGCTGAAAATGCATTCGTCTTCCAAGGACATCTTCCCCAGGATTTCAACCTGCTCCACTCATTAGTCATGCGATATTTCATACACAGAGTGAGAAAGAGAGACGGAGGCAGATAGTGGGAGGGAGAATGAAGGGGAGAGGAGACAATGCTGTTTTTGGAAAGTGGACGCCATGAACAGTTGGGGTTGTAAAAGTATGGGGTAAAAATAATGTATCTTAATGTCATGAGTCTTCACAATGGGATGCGCAGTTACTACCCATAATAGCAAACCACATCCCGGTTTTCAGATATGGCACATTATTCCCAAAGAGTCCTAGCTGGAGTTTATACTTTCAGAGTTTGCAGCTTTTTTTGTGGTCGCTTCTACCTCACTGGTTACTTCTCCCTAATTGCTTATTAAAACCCTCTTAAATGAACTTTTTGTGCCAACTTTCCAACACATTAATTAATTGTTGTAGCCAATTAAGTGCCGTTGTGCAAATGAGCCTCATCACAAATGGTCCTATAGGGCCGACCCCTCCTTTCTCTCTCTGTCTCTTGCTCTCCCCTCCCTCTACCACCCTCGCAGCTAGTCTTCCCAGCTGCCCTTGCACTTCAAGGCACTCGGTGCCAAAGAAGCAGAAACTGTGTCCTGATAATGCTTCACTGTTTTCTGGACCGTTTCCAGCCTTCAGGCTCACTGATCTCAAACTTGTATGATAGGTGAAAAGCAAAAGGCTCAGTCTTTTCCTTTTGTTTGCCGCATTTGTACAAGAGTCAGCTTTAAAAAAAAATGCTTGTAAACCAACCACCAAACCATATAGCAAATATGTTATTTGCATTGTCTGATTAATTTGTCTGGTAGCCATGCATTGCCAAGGAGGCATGTATGCATCAAACAGGCTATCTTTATTCACAGCAGGTAAAATGTGAATTCACCTAGAGAGGTGGTAAAAAAGGAGGGTAGTCAACTTCAAAGCACTCAATAAGGTTGCCAAGCTGTTCACACATCTCCATCCCCTGTGTTAAAACTGGAAACATGCAGAGGAAATCAAATGCATATGTTTATAGAGATGTTACACAGCCATCTCCTTCAACACCATAAGATTTGAACAATATAAGAAGGGTAGGAAAAAAGGACCTTTACAATTGTTGGTCTATATGTGAGTATAGTGTTCTGGTATTAGCCGTCCACACTTCAGAATCAGAATCAGAAGGAGCTTTATTGCCAAGTAGTGTTTTACACATACGAGGAATTTGCTTTGATGATAAGGTGCTACACATAGACGAACATACAGTTGACATAAATAAATGTAGAAATATATAAATTTGAAATAAACAAATGCAAGTTTTATAAGAATAATAAAAGAATAGAGAAATACAATACAAAATTGTTTTTAAAAAGTGCTGTTGTAAGAAAACCCTATCATGCAAAGGCTCAAGTAACAATCAGCCTAATCGCAAAATTCATACAGCATATGGCGCAAAATTTAATGGCCAGATTGGTCTAATTTTGTTGAAGTCTTTCCAAAACCATAGACATGTGTGTACTAAGAATGTCTAGGTAATAGAATTGGCAACATACCCTTTTTTATGAGAAGCTGTGGCATTTTTTAGTCCTTAGTTGAAATAATATTAACAATTATACATCAAGATGAACAACATGCAGTGACACCTCTTTCAGAATAGGGGCTGAACTTTCTTTTCTTTTCCCCATGTCTGGCTCTGTCCACTCTACTGCCATTCGGACGTGGCACTGATACACCCACCAGGAGGATTAGGGAAGGTTTAGCAACTGTGCCAGCCTCGTTCCCTGTGCCACCCCTTCCCTCGGCACAGAGGGGGGTCCCGCTTGGCATGGCAAGGTGAACTAGCCTCTGATTGATGGGCATGGTTTCAGCCCGCTACTGTGCTCCCCAAGGCCCGTGCCTCCCTTTCCTTTCTCCTACTGCTGTCTTGGCAGTGGTGCCCACCTCCTCCTTCATGCCAGGCAGCCAACTAAAGCTCCTGGTGGGCACATCAATTACATAGCGGCACCTCCCCTCTTTTCTCATGTCTATCTGTAGGTCTGTCTACTGTCTCAGACGATGCCAATCTGGTCCCTCTCCATCTCCACTGCTGTCTATAGCTATCTCCTGTGTGTGTATGTGTATGTGTGTGTGTGTGTGGTTTTATAACAATGTTCACAAATATATCTTTGCATATGTGCACAAATGCACATGTATTCATGCACACACTCCTGCTCCCTCTCTCAGGCAGGTCATAATGGTTGGTGGGAAAATCCTCCCCAGAGAGCACTCATTGCCACAGGCTCAGCTGTACAATAGGCTCAGGTGTGTGTATGTGTGGCTGCCTGTGCAGGAGCCTGCCTGCTTTTTAAAATTTCTTTATCTACTGCTTAATTATCTATGGCTTTCCTGTGACTGCTTCATAAACAAGGGTATAAAATGTAAAGATTGTAGGACAAAACAATCATCATGTTAGGACAACTCTGTTTCTGAAGTCGATTAACATGAATATTTCAATCTTCCTTTGGATTTTGGCTGTTAGTTGCTCTTGGCAAATCATGAATCATTTACTTGCGGGGATCATACGCCATCTGGAGTCTTCATCAGACATTGTCTTTCAAGCTATTTTAAGCAGTCAAGTCAAGGAATTTGAGTATTAGAAGGAATAAATGAAAAAAGAACGGCTCTTTCAGTTATGTTGATAAATAATCAAATCAAAACCTGTTATTTGGACTCAGTTATTTAGTAAATTTAGTAGTAGACTAAATAACGTTAATTCCTCCATATTTAAAAGGGTTTCCGGTGTTAGTTACATAGCTAACTAAGTCAAAACACATTATTATGAAGCTAAAGACGAAGTCAGCTACATGTGAACTGGACTAAAGTGTGAATTGGAAACAAATCACCAACGAGAAAAGCGTTTGTAACTCTCCCGCTTATTATGGTACTGTACGGAAGCCCGGATGGGGGAAGCGAGGAAACCGCAAATGGGTGACAATGGCGGCGGGGCCTGGTGTAACTATGCAGAGCGGTAGCCCTGCGAGGGAACTTTCTCTCTCGATTCAGCAAGGAGGGAATCAGGCTCATGGAGAGCGGATCAAACCCGAAGAGGTCACAGGTAAGAACGTGACTCGTGCTTTGTTTTACTGAATTTCTGGTATTATAACTAAAGGATTTGTCTTGCACAAGGCGACGCAGGCTAACGATGGCTAACAGCTGACTGAGTAACGTTAACGATTGGTCTTTATGTCTGTTTTTGATATTTTATTTGGCAGGATTTACATATCTTTGGGGTACATTTAATAAAGTCCACACGTGAAACGCAAATTAATGACACTATAAACTGTTTGGTAAAGTAGCAGCTAATGTTAGTTAGCTGTAGCTCCCGGTAGTGAGCAAATAGCTAACGTTTATGTTAGCAACTCGCTAACATCAACTTTATAGAAACACTAACGCTCAGGGCTATTTTAACTTACACAAATATATTTGAAAGTAATTTATTTGCACCACACACGTTTGCCTTATTTTGACTAGCCGGTAAGGTTGAACAAGAAATGCAATTCGACCCACCTATTACCTCGCCCAATATGATGTAAAAAGCTGTAACGTTAGCACTGTAACTTACGTTAGGTATGGACAGGTTATGATAACAAAACAGTAGCTTCTGTTTAGTTGACACAAATGTCTTTTTGACCCGACTGACACAGTCTGACGTCTTTATAATATAATACACTCAATAATATCTCAAAGTTCAATTGATGCTCCAACTAATCATAATTTACTGCAGCTTTCAATATTAATGTGAACTGTACTATTTGCTGAAGAATTGAGAGAAACGTTGGTGCATTTGTTTTATTTTTGTACTTTATTTATTGAAAATATCTACCGTTCATTTACAATACTCTGAAAATACATGTAGCTTGGATTCACTGAATATGACAGGTACTCTTGCACTCAGTTTTACCTAATTATCACTGTGACCAAATACTATCTCTTCTATTCTATAGCGTAAATTAAAAAAACACACAGGCTAGAACACATGCATTTTGGAGGAAGCGGTTAGTGGTGTAACTAATATGCTACTAACTAAAATGCTGTATACTTGTTTGTTTTTGTTTCAATATTGGAGGAAAAAAGTCTTATGGATGAAGGATGCCACTCACTTACAGTCATGTTTATATAGCCTGATTAGATCTTAATGATGTTCGGGTTGCATTTTGCTTTACATGAGTTGAAAGGAAAGGTAAAATGGACATCCAGGGAAGCAGATCATTTCCCATATTTACTTAAATTAATTTTCTAAAAAGCACTGAGAGGTGGTGTAATCAGTGTGGTGAGGCTGTGAATATCTTTATCTTTAGGACAATAACTGTGTATAAGTTGCGTATTTGTTTAAATGTTAATGTATATTTATGTATATTTTTTCAGAGACAGAGAAGCAGAGTCGCATGGCTGCTTTGCTGGAGAGGCTTCATGCCAAACACAATGCTTCCCGGCCATGGCAGGAGACCTGCAAGGTTGTGCGTCAGGCCATGGTGAGACGGAGACTTCTCTGAAAGAAAATAATGGAACCAGTAGACGTGGGCCTTGTGGTTAAGTGTCACTCTAAAGATAGCTTGTTTCTTGTATTATTTCATCATGAAAAGGCAACAGTCAATACTTGACGAACAAGAAGTCACTCCCACACATTCTCGCTCGAATATTAGCAAGAGTCATTATCTCTCATGTCAAAGTTATGTCAGATTGTACTCTCCACAAGACACACTGTCTATTAATGACAGGATCGGAATGCAGTTTTCCCCCTTAATTTGTCCTTTGTCCTTTTTTAATAAATCAATGCAGACAGGATAACTTTCCCTTCTAAATTAATCAATTCTGTAAATACGTAATTACATTTGAACTAGCAGTTGTTTTTAAAAAAACTTGGAAAATGCCATGAACACACATAATTTCCATAATGACCTACTTCAAATCACATTGAAGTACCTCACTATCCGCCTGTTTAATATACATTTGTAGCAGTGAATCACTTAATTGCACAAACACCTTTTTACTTGAACAACTTATCTGCAGGGCCAGTGAAACTGTAGTACTGACATTTAAATGTCTGACTTTTTGTGCTGAGTAAGCCAGTGAAAATCCCGAACATTAAACACTTTTGTCTTTACCCCACTATTATCTTATTCCTCTCTTTTGTTTTTTTCTATCTTCACACTGTGTCCCAGGAGAAACGCGGTGTGATTAATGCTGCGGGTCACCAGCTCTTGCTCACCTGCTTGGAGACTCTGCAAAGAGCGTTGAAAGGTGAGTCTGTCAACTCAAAGGACAGAAGAGAGGGCAGGGCAAGATTTTCCACTAGAATGTGTTACTTTTCATCATTGGACAGTGGAAACATAGCTATATTGATTTTTATTTCACCATTAATTGAATGCAGCACACTTTACTTGACTTTTGAGTTTCATGCATTTGTCTGTAGACAGTAGGGACATAAGACAACAATTTTATGACATAGTCTCACTATATGATTTAAAACATTTCCTGTTTTTCTCTGCCTCCTTTTTTTAGTCTCATCTCTGCCCTCCATGACAGATCGTCTGGAATCCATCGCTCGGCAACACATGTGAGTTGTTTCCCTTTTGCTCATATTTTGTCACCCTCTCACCTGGTCTCTCCCATCTATGATTGATAGTAGGTAGTAGATAGTAAGGTAACCCCAAGTAGAGGTAATGGCTGATTGGGGATGAGAGGTGGTCAGGTTGATGACACCATACTGAGGTGCCTGAATTACTTAGTGGGCTACATTGTATGATAATTACTTGCTTGTTCAATATACAAAAACATTTTTAAATTGACTAAAGTAAAACAGGTTACTCTCTTCTCTGGCATTTTCTATTTATTTTTTGTCTGAACAGGCTGGGCTCTCACCTCAGCCCATCAGGTACCGAGTGTTACATCACATCAGACATGTTTTATGTAGAGGTGCAGCTGGACACCAGTGGCCAGCTAGTGGACGTCAAAGTGGCTCATCAGGGAGAAAACCCTACGGTCAGTTTACTGTAATTTCATATGGCATAATAAAGCTCAGGTCAAGTTGGTCATTGTGTATCATGAATTCTGTACTACCTTTCATTTCTTTATTTAATTCCACAATGTCCTCAAAAGTGTATTATAAATTGTATTATATCTATATTTTTTATTTGTTGGTTACAGAGTTGTCCTGAGCTGATTCAGCATCTAAGGTGAGTAGAATCCACACACTTGATGATACACTCCCAGATGATAAACATACTATTTCTATTTCTTTCACGCACCTACTCACACACCTGCACCTATGTCTCTTACTGCACACACACTGGCTTGCCCCGTCTCTATCTGTCTCTCTTTGTGTATGTTTCTGCTCTGTTGACTTTCTTCTTCAGCAGTTTGTTTTATAAAGTCGGCAAAGAAAATAGGGTTCACTGTTGCTTTACCTGGTCTGTGCCTCTAAAATATCTTCCGCGTCTTTTAACGTAATACCAGATAATGTATCTCACTGTGTTTCTCTGCAAAATGTTATCATGGGTCGCCTACTTTGGCAACTGTTAATATACCTGGGCAGCCTGCTCAAGGAAAGTCTGTGAGGAAAACACAGCTTCTTTTGGCCTAACAGGTATTACACATTGCGAGTGTTGTGTCTTTACTCAAAGTCAAGTACTTCCATGCCGACAACCTGTTTCAGCGTGTGTGTGTGTGTCTGTGAGAATAGTCAGTTGATAACCAGCTGATTAATTGGTGCATCTCTGACACTAAATAATAAATAAACACAATCTATAGTGTAGGATTTCTAATTTCCATTTTGTAAAATGATGCAGGGACCTGTGAAAAATACTTGTATTTGTCTCAAAGCTGTCTGTAAACCACCTCCTCTCCTGCTTCACATCAGGGAGAAGAACTTTGAAGAGTTTTCCAAACATCTGAAGGGACTGGTCGACCTATACAAGCTCCCTGGGGACAAGTAAGTAGACTTGTAGGCTATAAGGATGTCTGGTTGAAGCCAACCTAAAAATGTTGGAGAATTGTTTTATTTTTTTCACAAATGAGGTTTTTAGACTGATCTTTTCTAGAACTGAAAAATCATTCAACCCAAACTTTCTGAGTACAGTATATTTTCTGAAAAGATTTCATTTGTACTTAAGTAAAAGGGTAAAAATACATTTAACTGCTTGGAATGGAAATGGGCGGTGAATCCCAGAAGCCCTGATTTAAAGACCGTTGTTTGCCACATGTCTTTATGATTGGTATAATTTTCAGTTATATCTTATTAATCTTACTTCATTTCTGTGTTCCAGTAAGCTGAAAACTAAGATGTATATAGCACTGCAGTCTTTGGAGCTTGATCTCACCAAGATGATGCACATGTTTAGGTAAGTTTAGGTCACGGTATCTCTTTTTGTTGTACATCATCCTTAGTATGTGGTGTTTAACAAATACTGGAGGGCTGTGATATCATGCTGTGGGCCTATAAAGCTAAGAGTACATTTTTAAGGATATTATAAATGATAATTCCCTCAAGATTATTTAGTATGGGGCTGTGTTACTGTTACCAGATAAACTGGTAGTAACAAGAGCATTTGTAGAGATAGAGGCAGGTCATTTCCTGGTTTTACCAGGTATTTGAAAAATATGTAAAATAGTGTGTTTCTTTAAGCTGCACTGTGATCTTTCAGGAAGTCATGCAGGGGAGGGAGACATATTCAGAGGGTAAAATGTAGCACGGGTGTAATATTAACAGAATGTAACCTATGTAAATAAATCAGTGCACCTGGTAAAATATACGTTTACTTAACTAGTGGTATAAATTCATAATTAGGAGTAAAAGGCAGTGCAATAATTTTTGATTTCTGTGTTTTGTAGGTTAGCAACCAATGCTAATACAGTGGAGACTATTCTTCATGGCAGTGTGGGCTTACTGACAGCCAGGAGTGGTGGCCATCTTGTTTCTCTTCAGTGTTACGTGTCCCCTTATGACATTTTTGAGGAAGGAATGGGCACACAGCTCAACTTAACAGACAGCAATGGTAAGTGCTCAGAGGAAGTGGATGAATTCATAAATGTACATAAAAAGGGAAAGGATTAGGATTTGCTAAAGCACTGTAACTATTCTTACGTGACCTCTGTCAATTGTCTCCCTGTGTGGACACTTGGGTTATCTTTGCAGTTCCACACTCTCTGGGTGTCAGTGTTTCTGTGACAATCGAGGGAACCTCCGCTATCTACAAGCTCCCAATCGCTCCACTCATCACAGGATCCCACCCAGTGGACAACAAGGGGTAAGAAATTGTACCTCACTTTATCAGGGAACTTATAAAATCCTGCAAGTAAAAATCTCTAAATCTCTGCAAGAACAATCAAAATGCAGAAGAAAATTGAGATTTATCATATATCTATAAATGCACCACTCTTTGACATAATGAGGCAATCATGTGAGGGTTATTTTAGTGTCCCAATGCAGAACTAGTAGAACAGGGAGAGACAGTTGATGAATTTATTTTTGGTGTATTTCAGGACACCTTCCTTTTCCTCTGTGACCAACTCCAACTGTGTGGACCTGCCAGCTTGTTTTTTCCTCAAGATGAACCGCCCCATGCCTTTTTCACTGTCCTTTATTCAGAGGATGGGCAATGCTACTTGTGAGTTCATTCTATCAAGTCATTAATATGTACTGAAATGATGGTGCTTGTTTTGTTTGGTAATTTTGATTTCAACCTTTCCATTTTTCACAGCAATCCCCGTGTTTGAGAGCCCCCCGAGCCTGTCACCTCTCTACCAGTTAATTGTCCAGAGCCAGCGCCAGCACCTGGAGGAGGGCAGCTCCACGCTGCAGCCCTCACACAACATGCACTTCTACTCTGTGAGCAGATGCACACAATACTGCCACACACGTTGCAATTTTGGTCACATATTGGAATTTATGCTTACTCTATTTTTGTGCTTATTTTGAGGCAATCAATGTCATCAACATTACAGAGCTAATCTTTCCCTTTTGTCAAGATTACTATAACAGCAAGTCTCTGTATACTGCCTTTCGTTCTGCCTTTTTTTTTATATGTTCTGATTGACAACATCTGTACTTGTTGTCTTCATACAAATTTGGAAAACAGAAGTAAAAGTAAAGAAAAGTAATTTCTGCAAATAAATTAATAGTTTTGAATGTTGCTTTGCTGCTCATGAAATACAGCTACATTCGTGGTCTCCAGTTTAAATAAAAATAAAGATACACACAGCTAATACAAACACCACATTTTAGATCCACACAAATCAGGTTTTTATAAGAAAACCGCTGTCTTTATGGTTACACAGGTGTTGCCAGATCAGCAGCACTGTTACTTCATGAATGGCGATGCCCCGGTGCAAGATGGTCATTCTCTTCAAGGAGCACTGGTGTCCAAGATCCCCTTCCGCCACCCAGCACAAGTGCCACTCCTGTTGGATATCATCCGGCACCAGGCAGCCTATAACACCTTGATTGGCAGCTGTGTGAAACAAACTTCCATCAAAGAAGGTAAATATCTGGCTTCTGATTTCCTGTATTTAGTCAGTCGACAACATGCACCCTGTCTTTTGTGTTAAATTACATTTTACATGTGCAGCATCTTTATTGTTGTTTCCTCAGACAGTGCAGGCCTGCTGCAGTTTGAAGTATGTCCTCTTACTGACTCGAGTTTTAGCGTCTCTTTCCAGCATCCAGTCAATGAGTCATTAGTCTGTGGTGAGCTCTCACTTTTATAAAATCTCAGTAATCCAGTAATGTTGATGTTACTTAAACACTATCCTTAAGTGATAGTGATACCACAATATATAAACTGTGGAATCAGTTGCAAAATCAGTCTGTTGCTTATGTTTCCTCTGTACTATCTGACCTCCATCCTCTAGTGGTAATGGAGGTAATTGACTCCAGACAGGTATCCTGCAAGCTATATAAAGGCCTTTCAGATGCTCTGATCTGCACAGATGAATTCATCACCAAAGTGGTCCAGAGGTGAGATTGTTAATTTACCATTAATTCCTCTTGAATGCATGAATGTGGACAAAATGTTATTTTAAGGTAATTGTTTCCTCTCCCTCGAAGATGCATGTCCATCCCTGTAACCATGCGGGCCATTCGGAGGAAAGCAGAGACCATCCAGGCAGACACTCCAGCGCTCTCACTAATTGCACAGACAGTGGAGATCATGGTAAAGAATAACCTGCCACCTTCCGGTAGTCCCACCTACAACATGGCAGCAGGTGATGGAACTAACCCTATGGGACTGCCTGGGCTCACAGGGGGCAACACACCTACTGGAGGAGGACCCCCTGGGGGGCCTAATTTTACAGGTCCCATTACTTCTCTGTTTGGGATTTCACGAACGGAGAGGCAAGGCCAAGGAGAATGCCCAACCCAAGGAGGGGTGGCTGGCCAGCAACAGTTGCAACAACAACAGCCCGGGCAAGCCCATGCAGATGACTACAATAAAGTCACCCAGAATCCCATACTAACAAGTCTATTACAGATAACTGGAAGTGTAGGTTCTAGCCCAAGCTCCCAGAATGCACCACAGCCCCACCAAACTCCACCCCCAACATCCTCCCCTGCCAGCAACACCAAGAATCATCCTATGTTGATGAACTTGTTGAAAGACAACCCCACACAAGATTTCGCCGCACTGTATGGTTCTAGTCCATTAGAAAGGCAGAATTCTTCATCTGGCTCCCCACGGACAGATAGCATGGGTGGAACCTGCCCTGGAGGTAACTTGAAAGGGAAGAAGAAGCGCCCACGGGGGACAGAAAAGGGTGGCATGTTGCCCGGAACTGCTCCAGGTGGTGGAAGTGTTGGTTTAGGCCTGAAATCACAAGGGTCCATGTCACAGCACCATCCAGTCACACATGAGGATGACTTCCACCGTGAGCTCCTCTCTATGGATGTGGATGCATCTCAGAATTCTATCTTTGATGTTAACCTGACTGGTGATGGCCTAGACACACCCCACAGCATCACTCCGGCACCTAGCCAATGTGGAACGCCTCCCTCTGGCCCCAGCATGCCTTATGCACAGTCTCATGTCCAGTCTCAGCAACAGCAACCACCAGGTACTGTACCACCTCGTATAGTCCGTCTCTCTAGCTCTGATAGCATTGGACCTGATATCACAGAAATCTTGTCAGATTTGCCTGAGCAGACAGGCAAAGGCACCTGTGGGAGCCATGGACAGCACCCCATGGGCAGTGGTGGGGAGGATGGAGGCCCACTAGGTACACCCATCCGTGACTCCTCTAGCTCAGGTCAGGGCAGTGCAGTGTTTGACTCTGCAGACATTTTCAATACCAACAGTAATGAGAATCCTTTTACTGATGCTGCTGACCTGATTGCTGAGGCTGCTGCAACTGCCGCAACTCCCACCAGCGATTCTTCTTCCACCAACTTCTTCCCTGATGCTGCTGACTTCAACCCTGACCTCCTGACCTCAGGCCATGGCTACTTTGATGACAGTTCTCCAAGTGCCGATGGAGACATGGACCTGGTCAAGGGATTTGGGGGAAGTAGCCAGCAGAATACCCCGTCAGGAACACCTCAGAATCCCACTCCACATGGGCAGGGCACCCCAGAGCCCTCACTGAAGGACCCTTTTGATATAGGGATAGTTTTTGGAGGCAGTAGTGGTGGTGGTAAACCGCTTCTGGGGCAAGCTCCTGATTTGGGAGACACACATGGCGGAGGGTCCCAGAGCCCCCTTATAATGGGCCTCGGAGCAGCATGTGGTGACTTTAAAAGTGCAGAACCCAAAGTTAAACAGCAGCAGGGACTCATGCGGCCAAAGGATGAGAATGGAGGTAGTGGAGGGAGCAGTTCTGGGATGGGGATGGGGAGCAGTTTAACAGAGGGCAAACAGGTCAAACGTAGCAGGACCCCATCCAGTGAGGGAAAATCTAAAGAAAAGCCTCCCAAACGCAAAAAACTAGATCCCGATGGGAAGTCCCCGTCTCATAGCTCAGGGGCCCGACCATATACGCCTCCTAGTGGTGGCTCAGGCTCTGGGGGAAGCATAAGTGGAGGAGGCTCCAAGTCTCCTGGTAGTTCAGGACGCTCCCAAACTCCTCCCGGTGGGGCAACACCTCCAATTCCCAAAATCACAATTCAGATTGCAAAAGGGACCATAACTGGGGGGAAAACGTCGTCCCATAGTGGATACACCTCCAGCAGCTCCGCTACAACCAGCACAGGAGGAGCAGGGGGAACAAGTAGCAGCAAAAGCCATCATTCTCACTCATCTTCCTCTGGGAAGATAAAGTCCAAGGAAAGCTCCGCGACACAAGGCAACAGCTCCAAGCCAGGGAGTGCTGGAATAGGCGGTGGAGGTGGGCCATCGCAGTCTAAAGGCCCCTCCCAAGTAATGGGTGTTGGCAAACCAGGATCTTCCCCAATCACCAAGCATGGGATGTCAGGTCCTGGAGGAAGTGGGGGTGGAATTGGAAGTAGTAATAAAATTAAGCCTCAGGGGGGCAAACCTCCTGGGTCTCTTATGAATCCCAACATAAAGCCCAACATCTCCCCTTCTCACTCGCGCTCCAGTAGCTCTGGTGACAAATTGTCCTCCCCTATGAAAATGCAGCAGTCCCAGGTTCCGGGAACACCACCTTCTTCCAAGGCTAAATCGCCAATGGGCTCAGGAGGTGGCAGCTCTGGGACCAAGTCTTCTTCTGGTGGAGGCATGAGCTCTCAAAAGCCAATGGGTGGGAGCGCCTCCTCTGGTTCTTCCTCATCTTCCAGCTCCTCGTCCTCTGGTTCCATGACCTTCTCAGGAGGCTCCCAGTCTCAGTATGGGGGAGGGGGAGGAGGGGCAGGCGGAGGAAGTGGAGGCGGTGGTGGAGGGGGAGGAAGTGGGGGTCAGAACAATGCAAATAACCCCAACGCCAAAGGGAAGTCTCCCAGTCGAAACAAGAAACCCTCTCTTACGGCAGTCATAGACAAACTGAAGAGTGTAGGTGGAGGAGGAGTGGGGGAGGATGGTTGTGAAGTAGGGCCACCAGTAGGGGGACCTGGTTCAGGATCTGCTCCCGGTGGTGGTGGTTCTGGAAATGCACCCAGCAGTGGAACATCAAACATGGGTACCAAGCATGCCTCTTCCTCCCAAAGCGGCGAGTATAAGCGGGATAAGTCTGATAAAGAGGCTAAGGCAAAAGTGTCTGTTTCAGTTGGGAACAGTGGGGATAAAAAGCTGATGGATCCAAAAACAGGAGGAGCGAGTGCGACTGGTCTGGCAAAAATTATCATAAGCAAACCTGATGGTGGCTCACCAAGTATCAAGGCCAAAGTGACCCTTCAGAAAGCAGGGGAAGGATCTGGTGACTCTATGCGTCCCCAAATTTCTAGCCTCAAAGCTTCCCCCCTCTTCAGTGGCTCTACTCCCAAGCATGACCGCTCCTCCCCGAGCCACAGCCGCTCTCCAGGATACACCCCACTCAACCACGACAGTGAGAGCGAGTCAGGCAGCAGCTCAGTGGCCGAGAAGTCCCACCAGAACAGCCCCAGCTCAGATGACGACCAGACCATTCGTCCACTTCCCCCCCAGGACTACATGAGCTCCATTCCCCTCAGTTCAGGGGAGAAGCACAAGAAACACAAGAAGGAAAAGAAGAAGCAGAAAGAGAGGGAGCGGGAGAGGGACAGAGACCGAGAACGGGAAAGGGACAAAGAGAAAAAGAAGTCCTCTATGTCTATGGGGCCATCCTCGCATCCAATAAAAGCAGACAGTTGGTCCCGGTCACCCATCTCAGCTTCAGATTCATCTTTGTCCATGCTGGGTTCAGAGCGCCCATCCCGGCCCAGTCCAATGTATATGAGAAATGAAGATGATGACCTCATGGACTCAGCCCTCACTGGTAACCTTTAAGTTTTCTCATACTCTTTTAACACATGCCTTTTAATATACAAATGAAACTTCTATTTATTTAACTCAAGCCACAAATTTGAACTGGACACAAGAATATTGTGGTTCTCTGAGTGATCATTGTCCTGTTAAAGATGTATTTTAATGTCATATTTACTGCTTGGGTATCAGCGTGTTATGTCCAGGTACTGAGATGCAAACATGAGATGTCATCCAAATCCACCCCAGAATACAAACGTTCTTAATTTTCATTAAGGAAATGGCTTTATACAGTATATTTTCATAGAAATTTACATTTTTCTTTCCTGTGATGTCAGAATGTGTTCACTGTCAGTAAATGTAAATTTCATCTTCTTTTCACATGTAATACATTTGCTGCTGTTTGTATGTCATTGTTAAAAACATACCAGATTGCCACTATACTGTATATTGTCAAAATAAGTATGACATCTGTTAAAAAAAACAAAACAAAGTATTGTAAAGCAAGAAGGCTACAGTGTTCAGTTGCCTTGTTTTTCGAGATCAAAGTGGGAATTTTTAGATTTTGATACAATTTAAACTGATGTGTAAATTAGTGTAGATAAAGAAGAGTGATGATGGAAGAAAAAGTGACATGCTGATAATTTTTTAATTGTAGAAGTTTGTTGAAGCTTGAATTAAACATTTCACTTCTGGAGAAAATATCCCTGTCACATTTCTGTATTTTAGGTTAATGTCAGGCAAGATAAAAGGGCAAGATCAGTAGAAAGACGGTAGCAGTGTATCTCTTTAAGTCAGTGGTGGAAGAAGTATTCAGATCCTTTACTTAAGTAAAAGTATGTAGGCCTAAGTGTTATCAGCAAAATGTACTTAAAGAATCGAAAGTAAAGGGCCCTATCAGTGTTTTATATGGTGTTTTTGGATTATTACTGCTGCATTAATTATTACTGCTGTAGTTGTTTAAGGTTTGTTAATTTTAACTACTTTATATACTGTTGGGTAGTTTTATCTACAGCAATGCATTATATTCATTATCATATACACATTGAATAGATGTACTTAGTTGCATTCCATTGCATATAGTAACATCTACTTTCCATATCAAGTAAAAGTAATAATCTGTAAATATATTTAATGATTATACATTGTTGATCATGTCACTTCCTAACTTGCATTTTGAAGGAATGGATAGAGATGTGAAGTAAATACATTTTTTGCTGATCTTATTGTCATCTGCTCCATTAAAAAAGCTACACTAGGTGGCAGTAGTGGATTAGGCTGCTCAATCACTGTTAACAAAATTACTGATTTTTTTTAAACACACTTCCAGAAGTAATGGGTAGAGGTTAAATGATATTTCACGCCTTTATTTAGAGGTATTACAGAAAAAGATTTGCGAAATCATGATGCAACCAGGGGGAGAGAACCATGGTACTGAAAAAGCAAACCACCAAAGATCCACAAAACAAGGATGGTCACAGGGATGCTGTCGCCTATGAAACAAAAAATTTATTATTATTCAAACTCAACTGCTCAGTGCTTTATCCAGAGGACATCTCTGCATACTTGGACTAAGAATCAACAGGGTGGAGATAATGTCATCTCAGTGAAAAGCAGTTGAGCAGTACAAATGCTCCTACAAATGTGGCTCAACGTTAAAGGAGGTCTAGTAGTCAGCATTTTCATATGTAAGTTTCTAAGCAACGTGAGATAACAAGCCAACCTCAGAGGCAAAAATGAATAAATTAAAAATAATGTGTGTCAAGCGAATACTACAGGAAAGAAAAACCAGGTAGAGACAGGTACATATTTTGTTTCTATTAATGATCTTGTGACCCTTCAGATTTCCTGTTTAGAGGGTAATGGCTGGTCCTTTTCAATCCATAGAAGCTTAGAAGTGAAGATAAAATACCAGCACACTTCATAGTAGTAAATCAATAGAGTATATTCCTGTATAGACAGAAAGAAAATAAATATATTCTAACCTTTTTCACCCTTCATGTCCCAAGTGACACAATACATAAAACCTAAGGAGGCTCCCAGTAAGCTGATCTTCTGACCCATTGCCTCATTTTTCTCCAGTTCTGCTTACTGGACAGTTTTTTTCTGTGAAGCCCTGCTAAACTGCTTAGCTGACACAAATGAATGGAGTGTCTTTATATTAAAAACAATCTCTTATTATGGAGTCAATTGCTTCGAAGAGAAGCGTGACACTCAAATGGCTCAACTATGTGCTCTTTTATAGGCAGCAGCTTGCTTAGGGCAGCTGCTTAGCTGCGTAGTGGGCTTCTCATTCCTGTTAGTGTCCCAAGAGCCCAGCTGAAGGGCCCCTGAGGGACCTCTTCTAACCCTTTGTACTGTATATGTACTAACTTGCCCTAAGGATGGACGCTGAAAAGTGTCATATTCAGCTAAATGCGTCATTGCAGGAGGTTGCTTGAATGTCATCATTGCCATTGTGATTTTACCTGTACTTGTAAAAAACACATCACACGTCTTCTGGCATTTGAGCTGCAGCACTCAGCTTTTGAAAAAATGTATTTGCTTTTTAAATATTTGTCTTTGTGATTTTTTATTTCTTGACATTGGCTTTACTTCCTCATTGTTTAGGGTCTGTGGGAAATAATATATGCAGCATCCAAATGTTCCCCTTTAAATATACATATGACCTCAAAGCATTAATAAGGATTTTGTCTCCATCCATGGTGTGTTTTTTATGTTATATATGAACAATTATATGTCAGTGCCATTTACTGACTTTATCACAGTGATAAAACAGTGCTAGGTATGTTTTTAAAAGGGGGGGGGGGTCTCCAGGATCCCAAACAAAACATTAGTGTTAATAAGAGAAGCCAATAGAGAAATGTTTTGGCTTCTCTTATTAACACTAATGATCACTGATACGCAATATTTTGTACACTGAGTATGTATTTCACCTACTACCACATACTCAGTTTCTCCTGACCTTAAACACGGACGTTGCAATAAAGACCAAGCCTTCTACAGTGTTCCTGCCAATGGACACCCCAATTCTAAGATGGTGATTGAAAGATCTTCCAACTGAAGATCTCCAAACTGAATCAGTAATTCACATAATAAAAAAATTATGGGCTGCTGAATTCCATTTAGATGCACACACTCTGCTATTAGCAATCACTTCATTACAGTCAATGTACTCATTTCTCCCTGGCTTTTCCAACCAATTTGTCAAATTTGAAAATAAAAGAAAGCCTGAGGCACCTCTCCTCAGTTCTACAGCTCCTTGACTCTCTGTCAACCTTTTGAATCTGCTGATCCGCCCTTTTCTTCAGCACGTCTAATTTCTCTATTGTCGACCCCGCCACTCAAACTTTCTGCCATGGCTTTAGACTCACTCTTACTGCTTGGAATATATTCATATTATTCCTTTTCCCCCTCATTCTTTCATCCTGTACTTCCTCTTTCATCGTTTCTCAAACAAATGCCTGAGGCAGACTGCAGGTCTCTGTGATGTTACTGAGCAGTTTCAGATCTGGCAGGCTGACATAAATACTGCTTTTTTAAAAAATGATTTCCTCTACTTTAAGTCCTTTTTTCATTACTTTCTCGCATGTGCTCTAGAAAACAATAATTAAAAGTCAAGTAAATTTTCAAATTTTATCCCCACAGTTTAATTTAACTTCAACACTCTTTCTTAATCAGGTTAAAATTCCAATTTGCCCAAGACTTTGTTTTATGAGATACCTGCAAAACAGATCAAATTCCCATCAGCCTAAGCTACAGTTTGTGTTTAGAGCTGATTAGCAAATGTTGGCAAGCTTACAGGCTAAACTAAGACAGTGAACATTTAGCTCAATGCAGACTACAGCCTTAGAGGGCTGCTAGATTGGCTGTAGACTCTTAGTGTTACTTCCTCTGTGTTATCCTTTTTAAACTCAATCTTAAAACCAGCCACAACCTGCCAGTGGTTATCATTGCAATAGCTAGTCTGTCCATTTTTATTTGTCACGTCTCTTACTAGTCTTTAGTAACTTCCCACTCCTGTAAAATCTTCTATGGCAGTAGAGACAATAATTCTGGCCAAATTTCATGTGCAGCTGATTCTCAAGTTCCATCTTGTAGTACACAAAGGTCCAGTATCAATTCTTGTCCCATCATTAATGTAAATTTTCAACTCCTTTTCATCAGGTCATTCCTAACTTTATTTTTCTGCTATCTCGGCTTTATCCTTGATGGTGTAACTCGGAGTGTAATTCACCGCTGTTGTAAATAAAGATGCTCTCGCCAACGTCTGACAGCCTCTTGCTTGGTCACTCTCATTTTCTCTTCTTAGCTTCCTCCATCAACATCCTCTCTTATCTCTTCATCTCTGCCATTATTGAACTTTATGTCCATAGAGGCTGCTGAACCCAGTTATTTGTAGTTTTTTAAAGATAAAATTACTACATAAGATTTGCTTTAACTCTTTTTGTCCTCATGGGTTGAAGAGGTAATGGTACAAGTTGGCAATAATAAGATAAAGCCATGATCATCTCTTTCACTAGATAGTGTGTGTTACAATCTCATCACTGTGGTGTACAGATTTATTACATTTCAGTGACAGTGACTTCAGCTAATTGCCATCTCCCCTTCAGCACATAAGGAAAGGCTGTGGTTCATGACTGTTGATGAGCTGTAAAGCTTGGAAATAACCTCCCAGCTTATCCTGTAGATAAGCAAGCAAGAGGAGGCAGTCATTTGCCAGTAAGTTAAGCTTTATAGCTGCACACAGTTAGCTTTGAGAGGCAAAGTGGGGAGAGAAAGGGGTGAAACGAAGAGGAAGTAAGAATAAAGGCAAAAGAAGGAGTGAGGAGAAGAGAGTGCAGATGTATTTTCAGCCTGAGAGTGCTACATCCTGAACTAAGGATATTATTATAGCAAGAGAGCCACAGACAAACTCCAGCTACGCTCTCTGGAGTAAGGCAGCAGCTTACAACATGAAGGCGGTAACATTTTACCTTTGCTTGAAGGTTGCTGTCTTAGCAAATTCAGTGTTTAATTTCTAAGTTCTTGGTTTTACTAAACTGATAGAAATGCTCAGCATCAAGATCAGCATCAGGCACCGAATAATATTTCTTCCAACAACAAATGCAACCACAGCTGAATACGCTGAGACTGAAATTAAATTTAATCCACTTTTCGATTTACTACAAGTTCCTGCAACTGAACCATGGACCATTAGTTGCTATTGAATTTATTCCTTGGAGGAAGTGCCGGACCCCCAAGTGCAAAGCCAGGAAAATCAGGATTTGGGCCCAAACACAAGACACTTAGCAAGTTCTGTTCTTCAGAATTTATTAACCAAAAAGTACAAACTTACACTAATGTCCAAGAAATCAACAGAAGCAGTTCCCAAACAAATGCAAAGTAATCCACCAAAGCAAGGTAAAGATTCCAAAATCCACTGACAACTGAAAAGCAAATAATCCAAGTAGACAATAGCAGGCAAGTATAAGAACACCAATCGAACATGCAGATGGGTTGCAAGCAGATGCACAAGCCATGAATGAAGACAGACTGACAAAGACAAAAAATAATCACGGACAGTATATACTAACACATACACACACACATCAAGTAATCAGAGCAGACAGGAAACAAGCACTAAACGAACACCAGATACAGACAATTACCTAAATAAAACAGGAAACACCAAACAAAACAGTAGTTTTCAGTCATTTTCATTTTTATTCTGATATTACAGTATTAAAATAAATTTTGGTTGAAATGGAAAAAACAAGAAGCAAAGTCATACTTTTTCTTTCATGTCCTTACGTGCTTTATAGGAAAACTTTATGGTTTTGTGGCTTTGCAGGTCTCCTTAAAATGCTGCGCTAAGGCAAGTTTCCCTAACTGTATCAAGCTTTAGAGTTATGCTGAGGCAAACTGAAGTAAGTGGCTGTAAAAGTGTATTGCTTGCGAAACATCAGCAAAATTGAAGGAAGTGAAGGTACACCTATGGCTATGGTGTGTCAACACTAATCATTTCACTTGAATTTCCATGTTATGTGAAACATTTTGGAATTAAAACCACTGCAAGAGTTGTTTAAAATGAAGAATGTAGCTCAAGCATGTGATACAAATGGACACTTACATGGATGACTGGTAATGTTCGTGTTAATGTGAAAGGTTTTTTTTTCTTCTACTTTGCAGAATCATGGCAAGTATTGAGAACCATGGAGATATATTGATTTGGCAGATAA